TCATTGTTGGTGCACCCTTTCTTGACATATGGTACCACCACCAGTTTGTTTACAGCAGCTGTTAATGTGAAACTACCTCAAGTGCATATAGCGATTTTTACTATGGAAAATTCTTGTTGTACGCGATTTTTTGACCAAACACGGCACCACTGTCATCGATCAAGCACCATATTCGCCAGATCTGGATCCGTGTGCTGAAAAAGTTCCGTTCCCGAAACTCAAATTGCCACTTCGTGGTAAATGTTTTGAGTCGATTGAATCGGTAAAAGAGAATTCGCTGAAGGAACTAAAAGCCATACCTTCACGGGACTACGAAAAGTGTATGGAAGATTGGGTTAAGCGTTGGCATATGTGTTTCGCTTCAGAAGGAGCATATTTTGCAGGAGATAAAAGAAATTTGGAATAAAATTTAAATTTGTAAGTTTTATTTACAAAATCCGAGTACTTTTTGAGCAGAAGTATGCCCTGAAATATTTACACCATGATGCTATTAATAATCTTAATGACATAATACACCGATAAAGGCACCATTAAAAATCGAAGGAATTTAACCTATACAAATTGATACTGCAAGTTAAAGTTCAATTTATAAACTATAAGTATGCTGTTTTTTACGTTACAGCACCGTGACACTCTCTTTAAAAAGCCAATCTCCATTCGCCAGAACAGCCAAAGCTTCAGGCCCTACCCCCATTGGAACAGATTTACACCTCTGATCGGGTGCTGCAAGTTAAGTTTACTCACTATCAGTTATATTTCAAATAGTACCGGGTGGTGCCTACTTAATTTTTTTTGGAAAAATTTGGTGGTATATTAGTCCGTATATAATTTCTGGATTGCTGCAAATGTTATCAATTGAACCCTGTGAACTTTGAGCCATGAACTCATGAGTTAACACACAAAGTCAATGCAAACTTTCTTTGCGTTATTCAAACAAAAATTTTATCAAGTTTTGTGGTTTTTTGAACTCTATCATCACGACTTCGAAAAAAAATGATTAAATGGGTACATTATGAATGTCATTTATTAAAACATTGAACGTGTCTTACTTTATTCATCTCATTTGAGAACTTAACAAAAATGATATAAACATATTTCATGTTAAAGTTACGAGTCAAATATTTCTGGTTTAATTATTATCATAAATAACAATTTGTCATAAATATTTAAAAAATTTTATATAGCGTTTAAATCCAATTTCAACCTTTTGCTGTGTATACAGAAATATTGTCATGTCATCAGATTCAAATGATGTTATGTTTTCCTGAAACTGCCAATATTTGAGGAAAATAAATACAAAATATGCAAAGTGATTGACAGAACAATTAACATGACAAAAAATTATACTCATTATCATTGGCTTCACGGCATAAGCCTGCAACACGACACCAAATATGGCACCATGAGATTTACAAAATAACAACAGCAACCGACACTTTGCTGCAAATGTTGCGATGACAAATCGACAACATCACGCGAAAATACGAGTGAACAATGAAAATGTACGCGAAAAAAAGTTGGACAATTTTTCTATAACAAATTGTACAAAATGCAATTTTCAAATTTTTTCTTGAATATAATAAAATCTTAAAAGATAAAAAATTAGTTCATAACAGTTAATAGCAGCTCTCCTCATTGTGTAAACATTCAGTAAACATCGGCCGAACACAGAAAACTTTAAAATTTATTCTGAAACAATTTCATTTCATTTTAATATATATATTCTCAAATAATAAAATATGATAAATTCAGAAAAAAAATAGTATTTTATTATATGTAAAACTAAATTTATTTTTAATGGTTTATACCATAATGTTCACATATAAAAAATTGTGACTACTCGTACATACGCTGCAATGACAAAAAGTGAGTCAACTTTGGCGTAAATCAAGAATGCACTTTCCGCTGTAAATGAACAGACCATAAATTACTAGAGTAAAACGGTTTCCATAACTCGTGCAATCCAACAAAAAATATATTATTTATAAAAGGAAAATTGCATACTGTCCCATTTAAAATGCAGCAGAGCAGTTGCAATTTTTATCGCAACTTGTTTATTTTCAAATAACTTTGAGCACATGGAAAACAAATGGACATATACGTTTTTTAATATATTTAAATAACACAAAATTCAAATATTATCTTATTTAAATATATGAAAGTATACACTAATCAATTATTTTAACCCAACGAAATCCGCCACTGCATTACTCAATATCTGCTGACTTGCTTGTATTATTGTTTATATTGGAAATAAGCCAGTTTCCATCTCATTGTCAACCAAATGACAACAAAGTGTTTATATCTTTTTAATGTTTGTGTATACATAATGTGCTTCACAGTTCGGTTTTTCGTCATAACCGTAATGTGTAATTTATTCCAGTTTGTGCAAATATTTTAATTAAAGAAAAGGAAACCACAAAATATTGCTTATTCACAACTTCTGGCACGGAGAGTAAGTTTTCCAAAAAGGTATTAAATGTGTATTTAAAAGGAAATGAGATTTATAGGAAATCCATAATTTATTGCATTAAAAATGAAAAAAACTGAAAGTCATTGGACTTTCATGGTAAAATAAATAACAGCAGTAATAATAATAATAATAATAACAATAATAAAGAGAAGGATGTAATAATATTAATTACACAGTAGTTGAATGAATTTACATTTTAAATATAATAAACTGATCATTTAACATTTAATACTTTAATATATATGAGTATTCCAAAAAAAAAAATAAATGACTTATTTTGTATTAACGCAAAGGTTATGTTAAAGCCTATAAGCGGAAAATGTTTTAAAACCGCACGATGTCCACCAAAAACAGTACTTAAGATGTCAGAAGACTTTACACTCTACCATATCCTTAGATAAATTAATATCACCACAACACAAGTCTGCTTGTAATGGCACATAAATGAATAAAGTTGTCCACCTTGTCCTTATTGTAAAAAGGTTAAATATTGTCACTGCTACTAATACTGATAAGGAGATAGTTATACGTGCAGTCACGGAAATAGATATGCGTCCAGACATAAATACTGATACTGGTAGTGATACTAATAATGATAAGCATAGTGCAACTGATACCAATGCTAATAGTAATACTGATAGTGATACTGGGATACTGATAGTGATACTGATATTGACACTGGGATTGATAATGATATTAATACTGAATGTGATACTAATATTGATACTGATATTAATACTGAGAATGATTCTGAGTGACATAATAATGATAGTGATAGTGACACTCATGCTAATAGAAATACTGATACTATTAGTAGTCCTGATACTAATACTTATATTACTACTGATACTCATAATGAATTTTTTTGTATATTTCCGAGTAAAAATTTGCTTCATTCAAAATTGCTTTTTAAGGGCCCATTAGACAGCAACGTTCGTTGTCAACGCGCGCTTGCCATTACACAAACAATTTTTTAACAATTTTTAAAACACGCCCCAGATAAAACAACAAATATACTAAAAAATCGCTCTCACATGAGAATTTTTTTCTCCTACTTTGTGAAATGCGAAATTTGTTTGTGTAATAGTAACATTTGAAATTTTAAGAAATGCGTTGACGAAAATCAAAAAATTTTGATATTTCTTCAAACATGCTCGTGTTTTTTGCATATACAGTCGGATTTGGTCGGCATGCAAAATTTTTATTTATTTTGAGAAATAGAAGCGTAAACATCGTTTAAATGCACGCATGATTTGTCGTTAGCATGCGATGCTTTGCAAATATGAATGAATTTAATTTTAAATATTTGTATTTTCTACCTAGGTAAAATTTTTTAATTTTCAAAACATTTTATTAAGAAGGAATTAAAATATTAATAACCTTGGGCTAAAAAAAAATAACCAAACATTAAATTACAATAAAAATTTTGTTTTGAATATTAATTGCATTGTACACCTACGGAAAATTTGTTATTAAAAAATACCAAAAAAAAAAATTAAATTATATAAAATATGATATATATAAAAATAAATATATAAATTGAAATCATAAAAATAAATATAAATATAAATATATAAATTAAAATTATAAATTAAATGTAAAACATCATTTTTCGTAAGGAAATTACGCATAGCAGTCGCTGTCGACACTTCAGCGATTGCTTTACTACTGATGAGTGAACAGATTTTGCATTGTTTGCTGGAGGCGTGTTTAAAAAATTGTTGGTAAATTTAATGTGTAATGGAGAGAGAAGACTTCGTGTGTTTGTCAACGCGCGTTGATGTCTAAAGGCCACTTTACAATGTTTATATTGGCCATTATTATTTATGCCCTTTTGCCATTTTTCGCGACCTTTTACCATCAAGAGAGTTTTGTAGAGACTAAAATAATTAGTATGTTGGCTCGCATTGTAATGATGGAACCCATCATCTTTTCTATTGGCCGATTCTACCCACCTTTTCTCGATTATTTCCAGTTATGAGCAGTAACGCACTAAATTGAAGCAGCTCATTTGCCGTCAATAGTGGTTTTAAATTTGATTGTTAATGTAGAACCAACGATATTTCACTCATTTTTAGTTCACCTTTTTACATAAACATAAAAAAAAATTCTGATCTCTAATATCACCAATCACACACATGTTCGTTTGATATAATCAGATAAATGTGTACCAACACCATCTAGTAAAAAAAGCCATCAATACTTTTTATATTACCTAATATTTTATATATTGTATATATATAGAAAGTTACTTGATAAAAAGTCATGTCAGTTGGTATCTCTATGATCATTTTTCTTGACGCTGTGTTTATTATTTATACTTTAAAGTTTTTAATTTAATAATGTGTATAGAGAGTTTACATTAGTTAAATTGTTTAAATATGGTTTTAAAAATTAAAAATTTATATAAAATTCCGTCTAGAAATATTTAATACAAACACATTAAGAAAAAAAAACTTTTCTTATTATTACTTTTTTGTTTTTCTCCTAATCAATAACAAAAAAATTTTTAATTCATATTTTGCAGTTATCCTTCCATGAGTTGCAAACAACGACATAATTTATGTGAAAATTTTGTAACGCTTACTCAAGAGCAATAAAACCATAGAACAAATTTATTTCGCGGCTGAAGTGGTTACTGCTGTTGTTGCTGAAGAAGTGATACTTGCATATTTTGGATAAATAAACTGCACGAAAAGCAGCTGCACTTCAAAGGCAAGCCTTAGAATGAAATGGATTTGCAAACCATACTTGGTCCAGGACCAACAACTGAAGATAACCCAACATCAACAGCAATTAACAGCACATATTACAGGTACAGTTGTCGAAGCACAAATGACGCGTGGCATCACATTGGCAACCCAAACATTTGGTGTGAAACCAGCATCAGCGATACATTACAAGACACGCCGGCATACGATATTTACGAAAACTCAACCACAACAACAACAAATACAGCGACTGCAACAACATTGCGTTTCAGCAAAACATTCCACTGCATACTTGACACATTCGACGCATTCACACGCACCGCACAATATCAATGCAACAATAGCCAAGATGTCAATGAAGAGATATCGACGACTACTGACAGCACAACACCGGCAACATTTTCGCTATCCGCAACAGCAACAATATTGCAGCAATTTGCACACAACTGTTTCATGAATGCAAAAATAATCGTACAGAAACTACAACAGCCAGTGTCTGAATTTAATTTGACTTTGGCCAGATTCAACGAGCTTTTAATGCAGCATTTGCTAACGTATCAACAACATAGTCAAAGTACTCCTGGTAGTGATAGTGATAGTAGCAATAGTGATAACGATAGTTTTAAGTTAGGTGCCACGCAGTGTAGGGCAACACAGAATCAAACTTTGATGTGTGGTGTGACAAGTGCAGAGATTTTTGAAAGATTCAATTTCAATAGTAATCTTACAAGAACAACAAACGCTACAAACGCATCATATTATGACAGTTCCCCCACCAATAGCAACAATACAGTATTAGATGAATTAATTTGTTATCTGCAAACACAATTCATTCAAGTCAACAACTCACTCGCAATAAATAATCTAATTGATGAAAATTGGTTAGCAGCAATTAGCAATCAGCTGATAAATGCCACAATGCAAGCCACCAACAACGCGACGAGCAACAATGTTGGAGACAACAGCAACGGAAATGCTAATAGCGTGCATTTTGACGCCTACGATTTTAGCTTAAGTGATGCAGTTTGGTCATGGGACACTTTGACCAACATAACAAATGCTACAAATGTCAATTTCTCATCCGACTATACCCTCGGATATCCAAGTGTGAAGCAGAAGGGTTATGACTGGATTTTTCTGTTTGTCATACTTTTTATATTTGCTGGTGGTCTTGGCAACATATTAGTTTGCTTAGCCGTGGCTTTGGATCGTAAACTGCAAAATGTTACCAACTATTTTCTGTTCTCGTTGGCCATTGCGGACTTGCTTGTTAGTCTCTTCGTAATGCCATTGGGGGCAATACCAGCATTTTTAGGTAAGTATTGGAATCTACTTATTTGCATAAAACTCTACTAATGACATTCCCACAGATATGTTAAATAACCCGAAAAAAAGATTTAGTCTTGCTTTGTAGTCTTACTACAGACACGAATAAACGAACAGTCTTTGTGCATTTTCTTAAAATTGCATCAAATAAAATAATTCAGAACAAATATTTGCTAAATTTTCGGTTGACATAGTCAACATGTGGTATTCAAAAACTAAATGTGCTTATTATTGAAAGGAGCTGAATGCAAATGTGAAAGGCTGTACAGAAGCGGCAAATAGACAAGGCGGTGTCTTAAAACATAGTTAAAGATAGATATAGTCTGAAAAATAGTTTTTTCTTGACAAAAATCTAAAATGTATGAACAAAATATTGAAAACAATATAGCTACATTTTATTAGCCGATATATACTGATATCTTTCAAATTTGTTACCAATGACAAAAAAATGCAGTACTTAACTCCCATCGAAAAATAATTACAGAGAAGAACAGTTTTTTAGTAAGAAGTATTTGTAACATTATATGATATTAACATTCAAAGAATTAGCAAAAACAATATGCAAAAACTTGAAGATTAGTCAGATTATCTGGAAAAATTTTAAAAAATTTGGAAAACTAACCTTAAACAATCATAATCTTCTAACCCATTTAAAAGTTCTATAAGCACGTATAAGGTATAAAATTAAAAAATTGGTAAATATATAAAACTATTTAGACAAATCTTTCCTGAGATCTTAAGAGTTTCTTGGCTAAAGCCCTTTTTAGCTTTAAATACTTAAAAATATTAAAATGATACATTGGATGTTAAACCAAATTTTTTTTAGTTTCTTATTGAAAATACACTAGAGAAAATTTTGTATTGCACATATCTCCAAAAAATTGTATACAGATTAAACATATTCAAATAATCACAAGATAAATACAAATTTATTACACTGCTAAAAAAATTTTAGTATTTTTTAATGTTAATTTTTTTTATCGAAAGTGACACGTCTTAGAAGGGTTTAAATTGAAATGAAGTAACAACAACAAAAATTTTAATTAATTTATTGAAATTTGGCTAACCAAACAATGCTGTTTCGAGTATTGTCAAGTACTCATCATCAGTGGTCTTAGGAAATATTCGAATTTTTTATTCGTTTATAGTCCGTATATAATTTGCATTTGTTTTGTCTACTAAAAAATGCACTAAAGACCTAAAGGTATAGTTCATAACTCTCAATTATAGATTTAAAAACAAAATTATTTAAGCTTTAAATGGGGTCATCAATTTTTTTCCTTAAATACTCCTTAAAAATTATAAAAACTATGCCAGTGCAATGAACAAAACGATTATGCATTAAAAAATATCAAAAATATTTTTAATAAGGCAACATAATTTGAAGTAAAGTTTTGACATAACAAATAACTCAATATAAAATGAATTGTATTTGTTATTATTATTATTATTGTTAGAAGATGTGGCACTGTAACCGTCGGGTCGATTATTCTGTTTTTCTTTTGATAGATTCATGCAATCCTGGTATATTATCCCAATAATCCTTTTTATTCTGGTTCTCCTTTATTGTTATAAGAGAAAGGAGCGTACTATATCCTAGTCCTGGCTAGTTTGTCCGCGTATTCGTTTTTGCACACGCTAGTATGTCCCGGTACCCAAAGAATCGACACCTGATTTTATTTGCCAAGCAGATTTAGGTTATCAAGGTAGTTTTGGTCCGACTATGCCCGCTCCGACACCTTCCTCCGTAAGCAATCCGTCTGTGAACCATACGATTGTGTTGTTCGTTAGCTGGTAGTTTTGATTAATGCCCTCTCAGCTACTTTATGGTAATAAGAATAAAATAATCTATGAGTAAAAACAGTTAAATAGGTACTTTAATAGTTTTAATACTTGAAAAAACAGATTATTGAAAACATTATATATTATGACACCATTCCTACCATTTGCATTTTTATTTTGAATTTCCCTTCATATATGTTGAACTATTTGAGAAGGCGTTTAAACAAAGCCTATATTTAGGTGATGTTATCTTTATTATCTTCCCAGAAATCTTTTTAAGGTTTGAGAAGAAATAGTAGTCGCTGGAATCCTTTGATAGAGTCCAAATAATATAATTTGGCCAACGTTGTTGTCAGTTTTGAGAATGTGGGTCATTTTTGCTTTAAGTTTCTTTTAAACACACCAATAAAACTATTAAAAACTTTTCGGTTCATGTAAATATTTTAATCGCTTTAAATAACTTTCAACAGTTGCTGTCAAATCAATTAACTTTCAAATCGTTTTCGAAATATATTTATGCACTTAAGTTTTGTCCAAAATATGTTTAAAAAGGGCTCAAAACCATTGCTGTTTTTGATCGACTGTTAGTGAACCCGATATACCAATATATTTCTCATGCTCAAGTCATAGAAAAGAAAAATTGCAGCTTTATATTTATCATACTTACAAACCCTCTTAAATCACATCTTACATGTTTAAGCAAATAAACAAATACCGAAAAATACTTCACCAAATCAAATTTTTTTGATATTTTACATTCAAATGTTTTTACGTTTTCACTCTTAGTAAATAGTAGGTAATACTAAAAATATTGATTCCAATTACTATAAACAATTATACTAATTCATTTACGTTAATTCAAATTTCCATTGAAAAACTAATTTTAAATAGTATCGCATTTAAAATGTGATCAAAGAAATTCATTGACTTATCAAAATCTTTTCGAAAATTTGCTTACTCTTTTTCAAAGTCCGTCACTGTGCTATAGAATATATATTGAAGTGAAACATTTTGCACATAGAAATTATTTCAAGCACTTTCAAAGCAAGTCCAAAACCCAATGAAGTTATCAATTTTAAAAATTCACAAATTTGAGACAAAGGAGCATATGCGTATCGATTTTAGATAATTTTTTTGCAGTCGTTTTATATTTGATATTGAATATTAAGTGAAAATAAAAGAATGAAATTTTTATTTTTAGTAAATGTTTTTATCCATTTCATTATTCAATGGTTATTTGATTTTTAATATTATATTAAAATTTTAAAAAAAAAATTAAAAGAAAATATAACATCGGCTTCTGTGATACGAAACTAATCAAACATTGTTGATCCAGTGGACATTTGTGGAATGTAATGTCAATAATAATTCAATTAAATAAACCATCTTTAGATATATTTGTATGTATAGAGGAGTCATTTTATACTGTTAGTATGCTAAATGGAATAGTTTACTTCTCCTATTTCAAGAGTAGTGTACAATGTCATAAATTGTAATGCATAGATATTAGCCTTGATGCTCTGCGAAGTAGAAACGAAAGTTCTTTTGTTATTCCTTAATAAATATATGGAAAACTTTGTTCTACAATTGTTTAAATATAATTTGTGCTGCATAAAAAATACAAAAATGCTTGTAATTTGAAAGGAATTGATTAGTTAATGTGACTCCAACATTTGATTTGAGGTAATTCTGAATTTTTATACATATACCTCACATATCTCTAAGAAAATTATACGTTTTTTTAATATTTTACTATAATTACACTGCCCTTAGCAAACAAAAACTATCACTTCTATCAATACATGCTTTCAACAAATTCATGGCTCCGAATCATCATAAATTATGTAAAAATTACTTCAATATGATAACTTAAACCGTTCTCAAGTATTTAAGTCATTTTTAAATTAAATTCTGGGCGAAATTTAAAATTTATTATGTATGAGCTAAATTTGTAAAACCTAAAGTTATCCAATTAAAAGAACAATCTTGCAACTCTAAACCGAATTTCAAACTGAGAGAATAATGCTCACTTAACAAACCCTTATTACTGATTAGTGCTGCTAATAGGTTCTAACCGGAATCTATTATAAACAAATAGATTTTGTAACAAATTGAAGAAAATTATTTCTTTTTAAACTTAAACATTGAAAGTTTGTGCAGCCTTCGCTACTTGTGGAAAAACACATTTAGTCATCGCTTATAATTGACAGACATGGGTTCTAAGCCTGGCACTTGCAGGCTTAATTTTCAATATTCATATCCAAATTTCAATAAATTAACTAAATTCCTTTAGTTCTTGTCTTTTGTTTGCAATTTGAATCTATTTAACTATTAAATAGTTTCTTTTCGTCATAAAAACGCATCACTGTCGGCAAGAAAAAATTAATATCAGTTCTTTACTTTATATTTTGTAATGTGAAAACAGATGTTGCTGAAAGTGTTAGTAACAATTTTGAAACAATCATAAATCGGTTTCTTAATTTGTTACATTTTTTTTTTCCTGAAGTTACGTCCTTTAAAAAATTCTTTGACATTGCATACTTCTTTAATTATCAAATCAAAGGATTATGCACTGCAATCTAGATATCTACTGTTTCCTCGTTATGGACTTCTTTCAGACTGATATCCATGAAAAAATGTGGCGTTGAACCTTCTCTACAGAGTCTGGTTTTTCCATCCGATATAACATATGCAACTTAATATATTTTTCGTCCAGGCTTTAGTGTCGATTAAAATATTAGCATTTTACGATACAGCGAATTCCAGATTTTTGTAGATATCAATTCTTGTAACAATTCTTAAAAACGTTATACATTAATACATAGTAGTGTAGTTAGTCCAATTTTCTCCTGGTTTTTTTGTCCATTACACTATAACCGACTACTGCTTTACTATAATTTATATTTACATTATATTTGTATATTGTATTATTACTGCAATAATTTCTTTACAATTCTATTAAAAATAAATAATTGCTTGGCTTATATTCATAGCAATTCAGCGTTTTCAGTTATGGATTTTATTACGGCGCAGCTGTTTGAAACACGCAGATTCTGATTCTATTTAATAGGATTTGCTTTACTATCCTTCGAAATATAAATATATTTTATATTCAATGATAAAATATGCTTTATAATGATAATAACTTTATAATGTAGTATAAACAAAGCATCTCTCTTGTGCGCTTATAGTTAAATAGACATTCTATAAAGAAGCCGTACTGGACCAAAATGAGTAAAATAATCAAAACTTGGAAGATTAGAAAGCATGGTGGCTTACACAACGATCTTCTCTTAAGGGACACTTCCTATCTAACTTTTTCTTATTGAACTATGTAATTTCTTAATGGTATTAAAAATATGTTTGTTGTATTCAATAATTGCCGATTTTTCCATTACTATATAATACTATTAATAATCATCCACATATTATATTGAATAAATCTCAAATAGATTAGTATGAAATTTCACTTATTTTAGTAAACTATAAATATAGCTATAAATTCTAATTATTTATTATATATTCAAGACTCTCGAACTTTTTAATGGTGCCACTCAGGTTTTCAATTCAGTATTTAAATGTATCAAGATTATATTAAAATTATAATACCACGACTGTTTCATTTCATAAAATGCTTTTAGAAAGCATATTTTATACCTTACTTTACTATTTTACTGATGTTTCATAGAAGTATTGATTTAATGATTATTGATATTGTCTTAGTATTGACTCACTAAATATTAAAAGCTAACTTTTTTCTTCACTTTTTGCAAATCCAAGAGTTAGGATATAAAGTAAATACAAAACTAATGTTTAAATAAGTTATATTCTATAGGTCGAGCTTAGAATAAGCGTGTACAAGTAAACTAGTTTGCAATTTGCAAGATATGTAAATATTAATCCATAGTTAAAATCCTAAATTGCTCATATTACATATATATAACATTATATACATTATACACATCAAAATATCTATAAAATATTACAATTTTTTATATTTTTTAGATTTATAAGTAATTTCATGCAATTGTAATTACAAGTATAAGGCAACAAATACAAGTAGCTCTTTTTATCTGTTAATCTTAAAACAAAATGATATTGTATTTGTAACAGTATTAAATTATCAAGATGGATTTAAAACATTTGGCAAAGCACTCCGGTGTATCTTTATATATTCGATATTATGAGAATTTAATTTATATTTATTTTTCCTCTTATAACAACTTGTCATTGTAAGCATTTCTAAAAGTCACCAAAAACTATAAAGCCATTCGCAATACTCATAAGATATCAAGAAATTTGATATTAAAATCAGCAAACTTTATGAAATTTAATTTACAGACAAACTATATAAGCCCTGTCATGATGACATCTCAAATTCTATATTGCAAAATGTTCCTATTTCCTTAACAAAATTTGGCTCAAAGCCAACTAAATTGGCAAGTATAACTTTTGTAAGACTTTCGATTGTTTATGAATTATTTGTTTTATATTTTATTCCCCAAAAAAAAACAAATATTTGATATTTTGCCTTCGCATTAAACTAAAATATTAAATGCTTTTTGTTACCTTAATATTCCATCTCTTACTCTAAGCACTACGGTTTTAAAAGCCAAAAGGTTTATACAAAGTCCAGTAGAATGGTTTGAAATAATAGGTTGAATTTCTTTTCAAGGTTACTTTTTGTGGTCAGAAAATGGAACGAATAAAAAATGGTCAAATTTGCAAAGTGAATGTATCTTATTACAATGGAAACACGTTTTTAAACTTATTTCAACAAAGATAATGTTGCTAAACCATAAAGCCATGATAAATTTGAACCAATTTTAGGCTTAACTTCGAAAAAAAATTATTATTTTCAAGGTTTGCATTAGAAAAATTACATGAAAATAGAAAATGAATATAGAATTTATGCCAAAGCTGCAGCGGATATAAATTTAATGCCTGCCTGACCCAATAAATATCGGTACGCCATATGTACTCAGATTTTATTTAAATCAAAAGTCAAAATATTATACATCAATGCCAATTATTAAGTAAACAATTTTAAACAATTTCTGATTGCTTATATAAATAAAGTTTAAATTTTTTTTTATTTAATTAAAAATTTATTTTATAATATCTCAACAATTGATAAGTTTGATGAGCTACATTTTTGCAGATGTTGAAGTATTTGTTCTGCTTAAAAAATTTCAAATTATTTTATGTTTATATTAAAAATATTTAATATTGACTGCCAATGCGTTTTTTTTTGTGTTTTTGTATTGAATAAACTATGTTTTCAATTATTTTTCTTGCTAAATATTTAGTATATTTATAAACTTTAAATCAATATGGCAGTGTATGTTAACATATTGAATAATAACTAATAAAAAAAATTTGATATAAATAATTTTTTTTTCGATAAAACAGTTTCAGGAAAAATATATAATATATATCATATATGAATGTAGACTTTATGATAAAATTATTAAAAAAATTTCTTATTAATGTGTATTATAATTTCAAGTATAATAGAAATTTATATTATTTTTCTTCAAAAAAAAAACAAACCAATATAATAAATATACATTTGAATACTGAATATTTAATGGATAGAATAATAGACATGTCGTATTTTTTATACAAAATTAAAGACAATTTTTTTTATAACTTCAAAGAGTGTAAGTTATTTGTAATATTGTCATTTTTTTGGACCACCTTCACGCATTTGCCGGAAAGAATCAATTTTTCGTTTATCAAAGAGTTTTGCAGATTTATTTTTAAAAACTGACACATTTACTTATCACCGTGATTTTTATGTCAATACAAGAATACTGCAGAGATCGAAACATATAATAATCTGATAAAGCAATATCAAAATAAAACTGTACAACCAATCTGAATGATTGTTGCCCTATCACGATATAATTTTCTGTCGTAATAAAACCCAAAACCTTTTCTATTCATAATTTTTTTTAATTAATTATATTAATTTTCTTAATGCTGATAGAACAGATCCGATTTAGTTATTTTAAATCGATTGAACATATTTAAATTTAATGCCTAATACCTATATTCTTTAACTTCAATTATTATGTTGAGTTTTTTCCGAGTTAGTGCATCTGGGCACTTTTACTCTATAATGGCTGGGAGGTTTCTGCA